CGCATAATGCTTATTTTTACATTCAAAAACGCGCGAAAAATTGAAATATATAATTATTTATAATATAATTATATATAATTATTTATAATATAATATATTAATTGTTATTGTTTAAAATTGGAATCTTGTAAATAGAAGATATATTTATTGGAAAAATAAAATAATAAAAAATTTATTATTAGTAAAGTTATTAATTTAATTAAAATAGTAAAACAGTTATAATAAAAAGTAGGAATTCAATATAAAAATTAATTGAAGTCAAATAAAAAACACAAAAGAAAAATTTAACAAAAAACTTAAATAAATTCATGAAAAAAGAACATAAAAGTAACTGAATTTGTTATAATTGAAGATTTATTATAATTCATAAGAATTAAATTTAATTTAAAAATAAATAAATTTAAAAAATTAATCCCACTTCCAATCAAACAATAATCTGCACAAAAATGACAAAAGTTAAAATATTGTTCAATTTTAATATAATAATCATTAAACAAATACATATTAATTAAACAAAGTTTTTAATATCTATAATTAATATCTAATATTATAATAAAAATTTTATATTTATGCATCTCTGTCAGTGAATCGCATGCTGTCACTATAATTTTCAACTGTAAACTCACGCCATTTATACTATAATGCGCAATGATTCATTCTGCTGCTAAATTTTAATAGCTTTCTGATTGGCTGAAATAATGGGGTTGTTTGCTATTTATTTTAATTGCGCAAAAATTGAAATAAAATATATTCTATTTTAATTATAAATTTTTATAACAGAAGATCCATCCATTGTAAATATAAAAATAGACTAATATAATTAAATTAAAATTAATTTTCAATAAAAATTATTTAAATTAGGAATACTAAAATATAAATTTAAATATTTAAAAACAAAATAATCAAATTTAAAAAGAGTATAAAAATATAAAAAATAGAAATATAAATAAAATATAAAAAAGAATATAAAACAGAAGTCAACATAAAGTATATTTAATACTTAAGTGTGATAGAAGAATTTAAGACAATACTAAAAAAAAATTTTTAAACAAATGTTTTAAAAAAGTCTAAAAAATAAATAAAAAAATTTGTTAACATCATTTCTTAAATAATAAGAATTGAAGATCAACGCCATCTTTTAAAGATTTTTAGAAATTTGATTCTTTGAAAAAATATTTTTTCAAAGAAAGTATTCAAGAGATAACACTGAAAATCAACCCTTATTCTATTCTATTTCTATTTATTCTATTCTATATCTATTTTTATTATTTAGTCTCTTTATTTATTAGTTTCATTTGCGGCATTCTAAAAGTAACAAGATTGGATAATTCTTAATCTATCTTTTCTTTTTCCCGTTATTCTCTTTGTTTGGTCTGCAAAATTTATATTCAAAAAATTATTTTCATAATTTATATTTGATTAATAATTAAAAATCAATGAAAAAAATAAGAAATTCCTATATAATTTTAAAATAGATTCCTATATAATTTTCCTATATAATAATATTTTATTTATTAAATTTTCATGATTATTTATATTATATAAATATTAATATTTTCAATTTTACTAAAAATAAATATAAATAATTTATGTAAATAGAATATGGATTAAAAAGCACTATTATTAAAGCACTAATATTAAATCTATTTAATAACTCATCTATAAGTTTTATTATTGTATTAAAAATAATTTCTTTGCAAATAATATATAATATCTAAGAAAAATATCATCAATAAAAACTTGCATACTATTTAGATTTTCATAAAAAAATATTTATCGCGAATCTTAAAAAATTTTTGAATTTTATTAATATTAATTTATAATTATAATTTAAATTAAAAATGTAAATAGGAAAAATTAATAAAACATACAAAATAACTATATTTTTATTAAAATTTTATTAAATAAAAAATATTTATGGTTGTTCACCAGTAGGCATAGATTTTATGATATCTGAATTTCCAGGGTCTGTAATAGAAAGAGTACATACACGGAAATATTTTCCACATGCAGTACCTAATTCTATGTTATTTCCAATATAATGATGCACGCCAGTTTTTGCCAACATAGCATAATATTCTATCTCTGATTTCCTGTTAAACAAATAAAACAAATATTTATAGCTTTAATTTAGTTAGATAAATTTGAAGTGTCTCTGCACTTACAAACAGAGACGTGAGACTACTCCGTAGGACTCCTATTATGAGTATACAAATCAATATGAAACATATAAAATTTTTTTAATATATTTGTCAACATTCAATGTAATATTGAATTTAAAATATTATTTTATTTTATATATTGCTCATATTGCTTTGTAATTATTTATAATTGAAGGAGTACTACATCTCAGTCTCACCTTAAAGGTGCAGCATTATTAGCAATGATGACTAATTTTGCTTTTCCTTGTCGGAGGGACTTCAATGTCTGCTTATATCCCAGAACATATTTTCCTGATTTCATAACAAGGGCCAATCTGGAGTTGATCCCTTCTTGAGATTTTTTCTGTTAATAAATACATATATTTACAAATACAAACATATACATATATTTAAACTATTAACCTTTAACTCTTACTATCCTCCTATTATAAAAAAATTATTTAAACATTTAAAAAAAAATTTATTTTAAAAATAGCTTAAAAATATAATAATAAATTTAATTCATATTTATATATTAGTATTATTATTTTAATGTACTGTAATATTTTAATATGTAATATTTTAAAAATATAAAGAATAATTTTAACATATACTGTGAAAATTGAATAGCACGTGTAAATTTGAAAAAGGATTTACCTGTTTTTTTTGAGCTACCATTTTTACTATTTAATAGATGAATACTAGAACAAAAATTTTAACGTATTTAATAATACTTGTTTATATCAATTATTATATCAATTATAATAATCAATTATTAAAAAATATTAAAAAAATACTTACCTTTTCAAGTACACGCAATGTCATAGAACACGATAGACGTGAAAAAGACTGAATACATCGTTATATGTTCGAGTTGAAGATTGCCATGAAATACAAAGTATATAGAATATGTTTCTATTATGTTTCTGCTATATATATTATTTTTATTTATTTATGTTTTGCAATATAGTATTTTAATATATAAATTTAATATATAAATTATAAATATATAACTCAAAGTAATAAAATTATAAAAATTTTATAATTAAATAAATATTGATTTATAAAATCATAAAAGAACTTAATATTATTTATATTACTTATCAATTTAATTAATATTTTTTTCATTTTATTATTACTATTAAATTAATTATTTATAGATTTTTTTTCAAATTAAAATAATTTATCAAATAATCTTAATAATCTTTATAATTTTGTAACTAATTATAATATTATAAATATTATAATTATAAATATTAAATTTATAATTCAATATATTATAATTTTGTAGTTTTATTTATAAAATGTAAATAAGTTATAAAAATTTGAATTTATTTTATTAATAAAATAAATGAGAAAATAATAAGAAAATAGTTTAATTATTAATACATTTTAATATATTAAATAATGTTTTAATTATATAACAAACATGATAATAAATAAGGGTGAAATATTGCATGTATTTATCAAATATTATCACGGATAAAACTTTCTATATGACTTTATTTCCTTTTATACTAATTTATATTTATAATATATATAATACGAAAGTAACTCTCATATATTTGTTTTTTTCATATTATATTTAATTAACTTTTTAATCAATAATCAATAATAATAATAATAATTAATTTATGAGTTACGTTTGCTATTTAGCATATTTCATAGAATTAGCTTCAAGTATAATAAATTTTTTCTTTTCTTTTAATTATTTTAAAAATTAATTATATTTAAATTTCTCAATTTAGAAAGATGGAAATACAAGATCCGCGCTGGAAAAATAAGATTAGCGTTTTGGTTTCCCTGACAACGAAAGTAGAGTGGGGAAAATTCCTTTTGTTCGCGAATAAAATTTAGACAACATTTATCAAAAAAAGTGATAATATTCATATTTACGTGTCACTTTTTTATCATACTTATAGTTTGTACAAATGATCAAATAGTTTATATCTTGACATTATTTACATCTTGTAGTTTATATGTAATGTTACAAAAAATTATAAACATATGTTTTCATTTAAAATACAATAATATTACATATTCTAATAGAAAATATGTATAAAAATATTATTAAAAAATTTAAATTAAAAATAAAAACAAATTTTTATTCTAAAGTGTATTTTAATATATTTTATATATAAAATTTTAATACAATATATAAAAGATATATAAAAGTGTTTTTAATAAGTGTTTTTAATTTTTAATATTAAGTGTTTATTGTTATTTCTTGTTTCAGAAATATTTTTAAAATAATGGAACTTAAATGTAAAGTACAAACATATGATTGGGGAAAATATGGTATTGATAGTACTGTAGCAACATTAATGAAATCTGCTAATAAAGATTTTATATTAGATGAAAAAAAACCATATGCAGAGTTGTGGATGGGTACACATCCTAATGGTCCTTCATATATAAAAGATTTAAATATATCATTAGAAAAATATATAAAACAAAATAGTCATGTATTAGGAAATGATGTTCAAAAAATATTTGGTCATCAGTTACCATTTCTTTTTAAAGTCTTATCTGTGAACAAAGCATTATCAATTCAAGCACATCCAAATAAGGTATATATGTTTTAATGATATATAGACAAACATATATTATGATTATCTTCTGATAATGCTTCTAATAAATGCTTTTATGTAATACAATTGTCTAATATAAAATATTATACTGATATATTTTAACACAGGAAAAAGCAAAGGAATTGCATCAACAATATCCTACTATTTACAAAGATGCAAATCATAAACCTGAAATTGCAATAGCATTAACACCTTTTGAAGCTCTTTGTGGTTTTCGTCCAATTAGAGAGATACAAGAATTTCTAAAAATTCTTCCAGAATTACGTACTGTAATAGGAGAAGCTAAAGTACTTAAATTTATGACAACAGATGAAGCAGACAATACTAAAGCTTTGAAAACATGTTTTCATAGTCTAATGACTTGTGATCCTGGATTAATAGCACTACAACTCAGAAAACTACTTGACAGATTATCTAATTTGGGTACTTTTTAATAATTAAATAATAATAATAAATATTTCTTAATAATTATAATAATTATATAATATTAATAATTAAATATTTATAAATATTTTTTTATTAATAAAAAATAATTGTTTTTAGATGAATCATTAAGGCAAACTTTACATGCTAGTTTACTAGAAAGACTATATTCAGATTTCCCAGGAGATGTAGGATGTTTTGGTATTTATTTTTTTAATTTCATAACAA